AGGAATGCCAAGGAGAGCATTCCCGCATCAAGCATAGGAAAAGGATTCACAAACTTACCGTGAAACAAACCTGAGCTTGCATAAGATACGCATGCTTTGAGTGGAAGAGAATGATCTAATGCTTGTATCTCTCTCTTTCCAGTGAGGAAACACCCAGGCTGCAGATACCCCATTGTATGTTCATGCAGATAGAGCTCTGTCTTTTTGCTTTTTAGAACAGCATCTTCAGGAAAACCGAGGAACACAGATTGACATGGAACTGACAGAGGTCCAGTGGCATGAAATAAGTTGTCATGGTGCTTATGTTGGGAGCAAAACCTAATTTTACTGTGAAAGTAAAGCTGAAATTAAAACTACTGTTGATTTCACACACACACACACACACACCCCCCCTTGGAGGCTTTAATGATCTCGTACTCTGAATGGAACATTAGCAAAATTACTGTATGTAAAGTAATTACAGCTCAGCTATGTATAACTGTGGGCTGAAGCTCAAATCCCTTTTGCGGGCTTTAATTGAGCTCCATCCATATCTCCTGTTCTGTGAATCCTTTCATTTTAGGTGCAGAAGTAGGAGACATTCCTCAGTGGCGAGATTTATTTGTGCCCTTCCTGTCAGCTCACCTGATGTTCTAGGATCATAGAGTCATTTAGGTTGGAAAAGACCTTTAAGGTCATCAAGTCCAACCGTTATGGTTGAACCAGTTGGCGAGAGGAGGGGATGGTTAGAACCAGCGAAGAGGGGTCAACTTCTCTCTAGGAAGCCAGCACAAATGTTAAACACAGTTTTAATCCTCAATGGCTTTTCCGTGCAGCTGCTCTGCGCCAGGGACCTGCCTCCCCCTGCAGGCTATGCCAGGGGCCAGGGCAAGAAAGGAGGGTTCATTCATTAAAGGAACCTTATTCACTTCTTGCACTCAGTTTAGTTTACAGTGTTTCTCCTCAAGTGTTTTCTTAAAGCCAGCTCTTATTGTAGAACAAGGTTGAACAGATGAAGTGACAGTGTTGTTCTTAAGGATTCTCAGGGGTGTGCTTGTAACTAGCTGATCTCTCTTCTCTCTCCTCTTTAAATATAGCTTACTGTCTGTATTAAGAAGGAATACGTTAAACTTAAGTCTTATAAACTTCTATTGCTATTCATATGGTGGTGTAAATCGTTCACAGTGGCTGGCCCATTCCAATGTTCTCATCCTTCCTGAGAGTAAATTCTGTGAATCAGATTTTGAGGATGAGACTACACCAGACTGCTTATATCGCAGCACAGATCCCTGTGGGACTTCACTGTAAATACTGCTCACATACTCCTCTACAGTTTCCTATTTTAAGTTATTCTTTATCCATACAGAAAGCCTTCCTTGCATGACAAAGATCAATTGGATTTTGCTCAAAACTAAAAATTTGCTAATGTAACAGTAAACATTCATAAAGTCCTGCACAGAGTCTTGGTTTAACCAAGTTAGTTCTTAGCTGCAGACAGTGCACTCGTGCATGGAGCTGCAAGCGTAAAATACTTGTTTAGCTGGATCTTACAAGTCCCAGTCTAATTGTTCAAACATGATACACACACACAATTCTCCCATATGTCTAGAAGTCAAGATTAACTTGATGTGAGAGCAGTTAAGACAAGTTCTGTATTTCATTTATGTTGCAATTTTGAGTCCTTAAGATTAGAATTGCTGTGTGAAATGACCAAATTTGTCCTCAGCTTCTTTCCCCCCCCCCTTTCATGCAGAAAAACTTCACTGGCCGAAGACAGAGCTTTCTAAGAAATCAGTCCTGAGTCCAGAAGAACATAAGCTGAACATTAATAATGAAAACAGCCTCCAGCACCCACCTTCTGGGATCCTTAAGGACATTTTCACAACAGGAACCAGTAGCTACAATGTCCTTCTGCAGAGCAAAGAGGAGAAAAAACACCAGACCCAAAAGCAGTCGTCTGCCCACCACAAGAAACACAGGAAAACTACGAAGTGTTCTACCACCTTGCGGAGCAGCGAGCACCGCAAAATCAAAGTCCCGCTGCCCTTGCTCAGCAATGGATGGTACCGCACAGACAGACAGCCCTCCATCATCATCACTAGCCCGGTGTCTACCGGCGTGAAGTTTACAAACAGTATTTCAGTCACAGGCAACAGCATAGGACTGCCGTCTCGACCCAGAAGCAGAGCTAAGAGGCATTTTAATCTGACAAAGCCAAAGCAATCCCAGTCATCAAAAAGCCATGGAAAAGAAGGAGATATCTCTGGCCAAAAATTCTGTTTACTGACCGCAATCAAGCCTTCCAATGTGGAGAAAGAGAAGACGAAATTCTTCAAGTCAGATTTCACATACAATCCTCAGTTTGAATATGCAAACCCTGCTTTGCCAAACGTGTTAGCTAAGCATAGCCACGCATCTGACAGATTTCTTAAGCAGGTATAGTTACTTTTTTTCTCCTTTTCCACTGATTCTTCTTTCCTACAATTGTAAGGGTGGTATTTGGCTTTGTTTGTAGCAAGTGAAAGTTGTTCCTGCTTATCATCCTCCTCTACTGTTTGAGAAATGTATCAGTGATGAGAATACAACAGTAGAACTGAAAGAATTTTTCTTTTACTAAAAAATGAAACCCTTCCTAATATTTACAGGATTCTATATAGGATAAAGGCACAGTTCCTTATAAATGGGTTTACATGAAACATAATTTGAGGCAAGAAAGCTTTTTGGCGATGAAGCAGAGTCAAATACAATGTCTAAACGGGCTTTAATAAACAGAGAAAAAAACCAACGTAGAAGTCCTGCCAATCCGCTTGGTAACACAGGGATTGGGAGGGGATAGCAATTATTTGAGGTCATGGTTATTGGATAAGTGTATGTTGATGTTCCTTGTTTTAATCAACTTTGAAAGGATATTTGCATTACATTAGGCTCAGTCAAGCAGCAAACTGAAAATCCATTCCAGAGATAGTGATTTTTGTTATGTTTTACCTTTTTTTTTTTCCCCCTCCGTAATTCACAGTCACACTGGTAACACAGCTAGACATTCCCATCCTGTGTAAGGGCCCTGGCTTCCTATCTGTCTTTGAGTTACAAAAAAAAAACCCAACACAAAAACAAAAAACCCAACCAAACCACCCCAAAACCAATGAGGGACAACAAAAAACATCTTCCTTTCAACTTTGATCTAAGTAACAAAAAACAGTGCTTATGTATGTGATAACAGAAGCAGTCCTCTTCCAACTTCTTGTTTGTTTGTGTTTTGTTTGTTTTTTTTTAAACTAAGATTTTTCTAAAATATTAAGTCTGACAAACTTTTCTAAGTAGGGAATTTCATATTTCAAGTGATAGTTAACTTGGGAAGACATCCTGCCACTCCATGAGTTTTGCTTCTTTGCGATACGAACTTTTCACTTCAGAACTCCCCAGATTCCCAGTGAAAAGGATACATGAATTAAAGTACTGTGGATTGTAATAACTGACCCTTGACTCTGACATTTATTTTCAAATCCAAGAAAGCACACAGATGTTACCACCATTAAGTCATCATATTGTAAGGCTTCGTCTGCATTTTCACATTAAAAATATCTGTATATTTTAAAGATATAAGTACCTGGGTTTTCATGAAGAATTTATTTTCTTCAAGAGAACAGAGAACGGCTGATCTGTTCTTAAAACCAGCTTCCGTGCTTCAAATAACCAACTAAATCACAGACACCAAATAAAACCACTCCTTGACTGCAGCTTTTTAGCAAGTTTTCCTTTGAATTTTATAGCAATGTTAGCAACATTAATCATAGGTTACAGCAAATCAACAATAACTAATTTGCCAAACTGAATTTAATGCAAATTATCCCCTTTAGTATGAGGTAGTAGAGCCTTAAAAATTATGTGTGATGATTTTATGGAGCAGGCCTGTCATTGATTTACCCTTCTTGTAATAAACCCACCCATCTAAATAATTAATATTTTAATAATGAATGATTCCTCAATATTATTCTAATTTGTAACTCTACCTTTTTCACTTTATATATAAATCATGGGAAAATAAAGGTTTTGTAACAACTTATTAAAAAGCAGTGAAGGATTTAATATTCAATGAAGTATATTTCTGAAACTTACCAAGAAGCATGTGAATGGTTTCATAAGATTTAGTTTAAGTTATAGACATTTTTAGCAAGAAAAGCATTTCTTCAAAGTTCAGCTCCTAAAAATACTGAGCAGCAATATCCTGTACTTCATATAAATAACAAAAAAATAGCTTTAACACAGCACCAAGCCCAGCAGGTGGCACTCTCTCTTTTTTATCTACAACTAGCTTTAGAAATTTTCATCTCCGTGCAAATTTGAATTTCATTTCATGCAAATTTACTCTCCAGAAAAAGCAGCATTAATCAGGATTTTAATCAGCAAATATTGTATGAGCACTTGCTTTTCCCCAGTGCTATTTCTTTTCCCCGTGCAGATTTTACTTGTCAGAAGAAACATATAGGTATCTTACAGTAAGCATTAAGTTCAGGAAAGATGACTTACGTTGAAAAAAAAAAGTACTCACAGTGCCAAGATTCAGGTCTGCAGTAAAAACACAACGGCATGTCATCATCCTTTTTCCTGCAACAAGGATAAATTCAATTTTGTTTTTCGAAACATTTTTGCCTTTCATTTGTTGCTGTACTTATTTTAGAAAGCTTTGCTTTGAGTGAACAGAAATGAAATTATTCCTATTTTATTCTATAAAAGGTGCTTACAGCAACTTAATTGCTTGCTCTTCTATGACTAATATATCTGTAAAACCAGCTTTTTACTGACAGAACTCACAAATTTTACAGGGGGTTTTTAGGACACTTCAGTGAAGTGAGCTCACAACCTGACATTTCAGATTTTTAATAATTTCAAAAATATTTTTACCCACAGCTCTGCATAGCCTGCTAGGACATTAAAACAGATTGTGTTTTCATATTGCCCTTTCTGCTTTTGAGCCTGTCTGTGGAATTTGTTAATATAGCGTTACTGCAATATATCTGGAAGACAAATCACACCCGTCCCTTTTTTTTTTTCTTTAAAGGCAAAGAACACTATGGATTTACAAGCCATTAAGACAGCAGTGCTGCAATGGGCAACACACAGGCTTGTGAACAGCCACCTCACCCCCAGACCTTTAGTCAGATCAAAGACTTTAAACCTTGGGCACAGCCCAACACTTCTATGGACTGTTCACAGGCACAGAGTAAACACTTTTGAATTATTAATACATTTGAAAAATAATAATGTCTCCTCATACTTTGTTCTGTTTTTCATTTCTCTCTTTCTACTTTATCTTGTTTTCTTCATAATAAGGTTCCTTCATGAGTCACACAATATGTGCTTTTAGGGAAGAGAACTCGAGAATAAAAAATAGCATGCAGACTTGCAGCTTTTCACGTTGATTGACATATCTAATATTACAGAAATTAGTTCTTTTATTGCTATGTTTCAAGGTCAGTGCAGCAACTGTGTGCTCTAAGTGCTATGAAAACTTTTTTACTAGTACTCCTGGCTCAAACTATTTGTCCTTCATTGTTAAGTTTTCTTACACTTGGTGTTTCTTATTTTTTGCACAGATGCTAGAGGTGGCAACACTTAGCTAGAAGTAGTTGTCCCCAGTGTTTGCAGAGCAGGGCTTAACAGTTGAAGTTCGCCAAACTGAAGTCCGCAAGGAAGTTGCGGCTTCAAGTAACCTGCATGTTAACACCTATTTCTTTGAATTGTGCATGAAGGGAGGAAATCTATTTTTGTAGACATACTTTTAAAAAAAAAAAAAAAACACCATAATTTTGTTGAATGAGCAATCCCCCTGTGAAAGAGCTGTACATCCTTTTCCCTTGTACTGACAAAAATACAGCAGTTTTGAGTTAATAAATAATTCAGTTGTGTCACATTGTGAGTGTCTTACACACCTTTTAAATGATTAATAGAAGTAGCCTACAATTAGCAAATTTATCAGATGTTGGAAAAATAGTTAGGTGGAGCTGGAAGGCTGAACAACAAGACATTCAACACAGAGTAACCCCTTGCAGTGTCCAGGTGATGTCACAGCTTAGGCACATTGATGATTCAGTAACGTGTCACTAGCTGTAAAAGCACCTAATTGTAAAACACCTCATCCTCCACTAGTAACAAACTCCCTCCTAAACCAAGATTTATAGATAAAGTGTGTTAATATAACATAAAGCATATGAGGCTATCCAAACAGCGTAAGTTCTCAAGGTCCTACACAAACTTCTCTAGAAGAGACCGTGGATCACTTCTGGTGATACCACAGGTTTATTTCAGGACACAGTCTAACACAAATACCAAGCAAGTACTAATTTTTAATTCCTTGTAAAGTATTTGAAAGGTCTTTCATTAAAAATATTTCTGCTAGCATTAAATCACACTCCTTATCATGCAAAAAGCAAGCATACAAAAGAAAAGCCTCTGTAAATACTGAATAAAACTCAAAATACTACACCCTGACTAGACTAGCATTAAAGACCCACTCTTACCTCTCACCCTCCTTTCCACTAGATCCCAAAAAGGAGGGCAGCCACCATTTTATGGCTCTTGATTAGACTAACAAGTTCCATCTGGTACAGCTTAGTGTTACCTAAGGATGCAGCTGGGAAGTTTTTTCCCCTCAGCAAATCAGCTTCGCAAGGGAGGAAAGTGATGGTGTCTGCAAACCTTGTCTGTCCTGCAAATCTCAACAGGGACCACAACCCTTTTGTGGCAGAGCTGCTTCTGAACATAGGATGAGCTGACTGAACGCAGGGGGCTGACTCCCTAGGTTGTTGCTGAGCCCATTTTCTAAGTTGGTTGCCTCAAGCAATTCATGATCATGTCTTATCAGTACCTGTATCTACAGTAACTCTTAAGTAACTAAGCCGTGCTGCTGCACACAGGTGACTTGGGATTGAGAGACCTCCTTGGCTGTAAATAGTTTGTTTAAAAAAGCCACCACCACTGAAATCTGAACCTGTCAATTAAGCAGAGCCTTGTCTTGCTCTTGTTAGTAGCTTTCATGTCAATAGTTTCTTGAGCATCAGCAGAGTTTGTTTTGCAAGGGGACTTGCCTTGGGAGCACTGCTTCTTTTGGCACTCTTTGGTAGCGATAAGAGGGATTAAACCAGGTCTTTTAGGTAATAATGGAAAGCACAGGAATTACTACTCCTAACCAGTAACCTGGTACAGCCACATAGTCCTTCTTTTCTTCCATTTTTTTACATGTTGCTGAAGTGTTTACAGTTTGGCCTTGGGAACTGTGGCAATATCAGTACCCTGCTTTCTGCTGGCTCAGAGGCTGGAAAATATGTTCAGAGTTGGATGCTGGAACAGGCAAGAGCTGGCACGCTGGTCTGGATTTTCCCCTTTCCCAGCAAGTTCTTGCAACACCTGACTTTGAGTCATCTCACCTCAGGGACAGGTGCAGAACCCCAAACGAAGGGCTCTGTCTTGTATTCCATGCCTGGGATCCAAAAATACCCCAAATCTTTTCCCCTCAGGAGCCACCGCCAGCTGAGGTGGTTGTGGCAAGAAGTGTCATAAACCAGCAGCATCACTGGGGATGGGGCCCATCTCAGCGCCGGGGCCATCTGCTGCTCCTCAGAGATTTTGTGCACGGGTGGCAGTGTGTGTGTGTGATGGCTCTCCCTGTTGTTTTCAGTGCTTGCAGAGTCACACCTGCCCACTTGGAAAGAAATACTGGGAATTCTGTTTTGCTTGAGACAGCGTCAAGGGAGAAGGTGGTAGCGCTGAGCGCCCTTCTTAGTAGTTCCCTAAGCAAGAGAATGCGTGTTCAGCAACGAGGAGGCTTAAGCTTATTAATGACTTTCTCAATATGCATGGGTTCAAACTTGCCATGACTACTTGGAGGTGGCTGAACCGTTAGGATATAGGTTACTCAGCATGGCACGTGAGGTAGAGGAGGCAGCCTTCAGCGTCCCGCATTTCCCTGTGAAGCTGCCAGCAGTGCATGGGGTTGAGTGGGGAGAGGGCAGAGTAGGTCTCTGCCTCTTCAGGGGGTTGTATCTCTGAAAACCTGCTATTCTCATTGTGCTGTCGGTTCAAGAGTCTCATAGCGTTTTAGAAAAAGCCTTAAAACAGCTCGGGGAGAGTTCAGGAGGGTGCCTGCCAACGGGCGGGAGGAGCTAGGACTTGGGCTCCCTGACTCCCGAACTCACACTGCCTCCCTCCCTTGGTACGCCTGGGTCTCAGCTCCAGGGATTTTGCTCTAATGCGCAGCGGGAAGTTTAAGGCACGTTCAGTGCTCGTTTTCTTACTGCTTGTTGAAATGAGGTGGTTTTAGAAGATACCTGCACTCTGTCTAAGGCAGGAGAGTCCCCTGGAATAACACCACCCAATGAACCTACGTAAAGCTGCATCTCGTTGTAGTAATGTTTTTATAAACAGCGTCAAAACAGAGAACTGGTTACTAAAGCCTACGTGCCCTTCTCAAACACCCTTTTATGAGCTTCCATGTTGAGAAGAAACTGACCCCTTGCTCTCAAATGGTTTTGGCAGTCCTCTGCTTCATCAAACCTGCTCTCACCCACCCCTACTCGACTGGCCTTGTTTGATTTACTAGCTGAGATGTGTAGCCTGAGTGCTGGATACTTGATGCCTTAAGATCCCTTAAAAGGGAAAGGACCAAATCTTGGCAACTTTTGAAAATAGCATCCATCCCTGTATCAGTTCCTGCATTAAATAACTTTCAGAGAATTTAAAGGCAAACCATTCCACCTATCGCATCTTGCTGCTTTATCTCACTGTGATTTTTATAAAATGCTATTAATTATAATGACTTTTTCCCAGAATTTATTACCGAGAGGTAGAATTGGGCACAGGAAGAGATGGGGAGAAAAGGAAGAGGTTTGAGAGACAAAACGTGGTGCTGCTGGGCAGCAAGTCTCTTCAGGAATGGAAATCACTGGTGCACATTCAAAGGAACTTAAGCATCAAAGAATTTAAGTGGGTACTTAGTGCGTTTAATCTAATAGACTTCACTGAAATTTAATGTCAACAAGTCATGAGGACAAATTCTGTGCCAGAAGATTAATTCAGAGAGTTCTTCTTTCAGAGTGAGCAAATGAAGTTAATTAATTGTTCAGAGAAACCAGATACACCTAACAACTAGCAGGTAACATTAATATCTTAGAAGATCTGGCACCTTGCAAAGGAAACCGAAGAACTGTTATCATTAATTACTCAGGCTGCTGGCTGAGAATAAACTTCCTGGGATAGGAGGCAGGCATTTTTGGTTTGCTTCTTTAACTGAGGATTTTGCATAAGGCAGGAAAGTGCCTCAACATTTGCAGACACTGAAAAACTTACAAAACAGCCAATGTTTTCAGAAGTTAAAAATTCATATGTGATTAAAAAAAAACAGGAAAAAAATCCTTTGGGGAAATATACAAGCTATTAAACAAGAACTAGATGTTGCTCTGATTTCCTCTTGACGTCTAGGCCTTGCTCCTAAGTTTTGTGGGAAGCAAATTGTCATTAGCCTCCAGAAACGTGAGGCCCTCCGTGAGGGATTCATGTGTTCCTTCTTTCAATACTTTGACACTAACCTTGCTTCGTTTATCTGAGGTCATTTTTAAATGTCAAGCAATGTTAAGACTTGATTGTTCAAAAGAAAAAATTATTATTTACTGACATAGAAAGACCTCGGTAATCCCTTCCTATAACCTTTTAGGCCCTGCCACACCTATGCATTTGTACAAAACCTAATGTATGGGGAAGTTACTGGGAACTAAAATCCCGTTTTAGGAATCTCATAGATCACCAGTACAGACGTGTAGTTGTCTTTACTCATATTTCTGTGCAATAAGTTAATGAGAGTAATAGTAAAAATAACAGCACTCTGTCAAATACCTGCAGCGGTGGCTAGGCAAAACACTGCCAGAGCTACCCAGTTTGCACCAGCTGAGGGTGTATCCTCTATTTTTAATACATGCATTTTGAAAAACACCATTTGTTTTTAAGTTGCAGAAGGACGTTGCGGTTTTCACAGCAGCAGTCCCGTTGCCTCTTGTCTTTAGAAGCAGTAGGATTTCTTTTCTCTGCAAACAGTCGAGCCAAAGGTCTGCAAGGTGCCTATTGATTCTCCTGGGCGTCACCCGTTTCGGTGCCGAGCGGGGCTGCGTCACACGCAACATCGAGCCCTGCTTCCCTGTGTGCTCACTGCGGTGGCACAAGAGGGAGAGGCAAAGCCAAATCGTTTGCCGGTGGCTCAGGTGGTGGCACGGCATTCCCCCTTGTGCGATACCTCTCTTCAGACATCCTGACGCCTGATCCTATAAAGAGGAGATAACACCTTCCTCGTTAGTGCCTTTCTTTATAGCAGCCCCTCCTTACTCATGCTGGCCGCAGCGAGCGCAGGGGCACGGCTGCCCAAACGGGCCAGATCCCGGGAACCAGACAAATGCCACCAGGCCCCCACTGGCTCCAGCGCAAGTCCCTGCCAAGCCTGAAACTGCTGCTGGAGACAGCATGGCGGCGAGGGAGTTTTGGCCGCAGGGGGAGGCAGCGGGAGGAGACAGGGTTCACAGCACAGGGTGGCTTCGTGGTGAGCCTGCTGCTACCAGAGCCTGCTGCTACCAGAGCCATTCTCGTGAGGCCGCGCGCGCTGACTTTTTGGCCAAGTTCTGTGAGTAACGTCTTGCGGCGCTGCTGGGCTGACCCCGAAGAACTGGTGGTATAGTTCTTGGAATAACCAAGTGGTGACATTTGCAACAGATTTCTGTTTGTGCCTTGCTTTACAATTTGCTATTAATGCTCTCCAGCCATATATACCTCTGCTCCCATGTAAATAAAAACTTACCATGGAGGCTCAGGTGCAGCAGGACTAGAGACCACAGCAGTGAGACACAGTAGGTAGATCCTTTGCTTCCAGATTGCGTAACCCCCCAAAACGACAGCCTTCTTTAAGCTAACCTTTTTTTCCTTTTTTCTCCTCTGTGCTAAGGTAGTAAATTATGCTAATTTCTTGAAAACATTCAGATCTGACCAGGATGCCCCTCCAATTTAATAACGAGTATTAGAGGCCGACAAAGAAATACTAAACATCAGGTGCAGTATTTCTTTGGTATCCAGGTAATTGATAGTTCTCTTTATCAAAGAGCCACAGGACTTTTAAGAATACATCTAGCTAGCATTTTTGGCTTTCAGTAGCAATTACTCTGGGTTGCTTAGTTTCAACTTGAAAAAAATTTGAATAGGATTGTTAGTAGCTGCGAGAGGCACAAAATGAACCCTGTTTTTGTGGACAGTAAGCCATTCTGACAATGTCAGAATTGCATAGCTGGAAACAAGAAGCACATTATCAGCTTCATGCACGGATCTAAGCGTACAACATAAAAAGAGATTCAGTCTGCAAGATTTCCACCTGCATCACTAGTGATATTTTCTTACAAGAACATTGATTTTTTTAAGGTAGTATCAGTAATATTTCTTTCTCTATGAGATTCTTGGAAGCTTCTGTTACCATATTTATGAAAAAAGCCGTTCCCTGTAGCTGGGCTATTGCTGGGGAAGAAGTTATTTTATACCATATTTTCTTTTTAAGGGTGTGAAATGACATGTTGGGAAGTAGATTACTGGAGGTGAGTGTTTCACGCCCCACCACTAACATCTTCCACATGCAGAGGTCAGATTATGTTACAGGCATCATGCTCTGCTTTCCACCCAAAAAGGACTTCTTCCAGCAGCAATACGTAAGAGACCTGAAGTTGGTACCACTTTATTTGCCTAATGGAACATCCCTCCTTCATTTTGAGGGAGTTATAAATAAATACTGTGGTTTAAATGAAAGGTTTAAATGAAAGCTCTGTGAATAAAGTTCCTGTTCTCTCCTCCTTTCTGAAACAGACACCCACGGTACAGAGGATTTAATTGTAAGGAGACATTTTTGGTAGAAGTATTATTGTTAAGATTATAGTTATACATCTGCTTAATCATGGTTTAGCATTCCTCAATTAGAAAATACCACGAAATGAAGCGAATTACAGTAATAGCTGATCTTTGTAAAATTCTTCGGAAAACCATAAAAAGAAACATGCTGACAACTTAAACTGCAAATGGCCTTGTGACCTGTTAATGTCTGATTTACAAGGCAGTTGCACCACATTCCCAAAATTAAAGAGAAAATGGGTATTATTTCACTAGACTGATAATAATCTGTGTCATGCAGATGTATGTGGGTCCAAAATGAGTTGGTCAGAATCTTTTTTCAGTACTTTGGCATTACTGTATATCTGAAGATGTTACAAATTGATTATAGAGTGTGTCAGCTTGTATCTAATGACTGTGGTTTGATAGTGACTCCCAATGAGTTAAAAAAAAGAAGAAAGGTATAAAAAAAAGGGGGAGGGAGAGAAAGAATACACATGCCAGTCTGACACAGGGGGGTCTTACTGCATTCATATTTGCTATGCTTTTATATGTTATAGTCCATTAACATTATGGAGCGGACATTGCAGAAATATGGAAGCTATGAAAAATTTGAACAGGCCACTGGAGGCAGCTTGCTGACCAAAAGTCGCATCTGGAATCATGTCAGGAAATACATGGTGAAAGAAGGCTGTCTTGGTGAGGTAAGTCATATGCTGGATCAGGAAAAAAATATCAATGTAGGTCTTAGAAATTACATGTGGATGGACCCAAGGGCTCATTTGGGAGGGCTTTCCTCCATCATTTCAAGAATATTCCTTACATCATGTTTTTCTCATGGCTGTGTCCAGTCAAATTTTTGAACAATGAAATGATGCAAATTCCTCGTGAATGCTTCAGCCATCTCTCTGAGCCTGTTTCCTGATTCATATATGCTTGTTCTTAAATTCACCTCTTTTGGGAGTACCCAAGAACGACACCCTTCCTTCCCTCCTTTTTTCAGCTACTTGGAGACTAGCACATTTCCATTTATTCATCAGTTCTGCCATCCGTTCTCTTGTATCAAATTATTTACACCAAAGGAAAGAGTTAAGAAAAGGCCAAGAAAAATAAGCAGCAGCCCAAGAGACTGATTTATAAGAAACAACACAAATGAAAGTGACATAAATGACTAAAAATGTCTGGAAGAGGTTGGCTTGTTGAGTTAGTTTGGGTGCTGGTTTTTCCTGACTTCAACCATCTAATTTTTTAGAGCCCTGTGCAAAAAACCTGATTTCCTATATTCAGGATTTTGAAAGTCCAGTTCGACTGAGTTACAAAGAATTGCTTGGAAGAGTCAGATGAAATCGAATGTGTAAAAAGAGAATTATTCCAAGTGAAAGCACCAGCTGACACAGTCCAAGACTTGGATGAGATCACTGGCAGTGAGCAAGAGGAGTCTGGAATGGGAGATCAAGAGACAAAAATTAGTTTCCCAGAAGCTAGGTTTAATTTGTAAACATAATATTATTAGGAGAAACCGTTAAACTCATCACACCTTTTTGGGAGACTGTAATTGGACACTGATACCAGACTTTACCTGTGTTTCTAAGCATGAGGTTCTAAAACTATAGTTTAGAGCTGCAGAAAAAAATTATATTTTTAGTTGTTGTGCTTTTATCTCCCTTTGCATTCATTTTTGTCTCAGTTTGTCTTCATGGAAGCAGGATCCTACACCCTCGTCAAACACCCCATGTCCTTCTTAATGAAATGCTTTACTTTTTCTGCAAAAACAGGGTTAGTGCATCATGCTTAGTATGGTCTAAAATATTATTAAAATACTCTCTACAGCTGAAAAGATGTTAATAAAGTAAAGTGGTACCTGTGCTTTAAATCTAAACGCTTTGGGATTTACCTGTCTTTGCTGCATCTTAAATAAGAGTTTTAAGGGACTGGTTGTTTGCTGTTGAACTTGAAGCTGAGTGGTGGGTTTTGAATACAGGGAAGTGTCATGTTACTGCCTTTGACCCCTGTGTCCTTTTTTGTTAACTTTGACATTTAAAAAAATCATCTCTCTTGTAGGTATGCTCCCATGTACTCTCTGAGCAGTACTGTTTCTTTAGGCATTACATGAAGAGAGAAAGGTGCTTAGTATTCATAAAAGAGAGTTTTCCATCTCCCTCCCAGTCACTAAAAAGCCTTTTAAAATCAAATAACAAAATATATCAATATGCATTAATTTCCTGCTCTGGCAGTTTTTGGTTTGTTTACCAATTTTCCAAGAGAAAACAGGAAACCAAGAACTGCATTCCTGTATTAAACAAAACAAAACAAAACAGTATCAGTATTTTAATAATATTTCAAGTCTGCATCATGTATCAGGAAACAAAGTACACAGAGCTTCTCTCTCTTATTCATGTGGCTTTAGAATTGCAACTAAAAAGGTTTCAGACAGTGAAGTATATAGATACCTAGGCATTTTATGTGCACTTATCTAATATTTTTCAGTTCTCAGTAATACCAAGATAATTAGATGCACTTCCAAAAATGGAATTTTCTCTAATTTACTCTGCATATGATTGCTCCCTGCTCACCCCCCCAAATCTAGTCAGTGTTACCATATTAAATTTTGCAGCCTCGTGTCTGTCTGTCTGAACCCTTATGCTGAGTCCCACTGAAGTCTGAGGTTTTGTCAGCAGCTCAGGTGCCTAGGGATATCTCAGCGGAGTCAGAAGCGTCTCTTGCTGGTGGCAAGGGGCAATCGCCCTCTACAACTCCCTGAAAGGAGGCTGTAGTGAGGTGGGGGTCGGTCTCTTCTCCCTGGTAACGAGCGATAGGACGAGGGGAAAATGGTCTGAAGTTGCGCCAGGGGAGGTTTCAGCTGGACATTAGGAAAAAATTTTTCACTGAAAGGGTTGTCAAGCATTGGAACGGGCTGCCCAGGGAAGTGGTTGAGTCCCCATCCCTGGAGGTATTTAAAAGATGGGTAGACGAGGTGCTTAGGGACATGGTTTAGTGGTGGGATGGCAGGGTTAGGTTAAAGGTTGGGCCTGATGATCTTAAAGGTCTTTTCCAACCTGAATGATTCTATGATTCTGTGATTCTATTCTATGATTTTAAGGAAGGGTCGTGAAGGGTGAGGGACCAAAGAGAAATGAAACGGTGAAAGGGCCAAAGGAAAAAGTAGGAAGGGGAGGTAGAAGAGAGCTCTTTGCTACCTGAACTCTCTCATCTTTAGATTGTGGTCCATCTCACGGAGGACCTGCTGTCTCGAGCCTCAATGACAGTGGTGAATGGCCGCCCAACTCTCACTATCAATATCTCCACTGCGCGAGAACACTGGCTGGAAGGGATGCTGAGACATGAAATTGGTATGAGCGTGGCATCAGTTCTTCAGGCGAAGGGGAGTACTTGCATGCATTCTTACTTCTTTTGCAGTGATGGGCCAGGCACTGTACGTACAAAGAAGGAGGGAACATCCCTGTCTAAAGAACCTATGCTGTAGGTGTGCTAAAGGGAAGGAGAAACCTATTTATCACTGCAGCATGCAGTAAAAGGAAGATAATCCACTTGAGGATTCCTAGGGTTCATGTACATTAGCATTTTAGGTCAGATCATGAGCAAGCTTTTGAAGTGAGTCTACCAGCTAGTCCTGCTTACTGCACAGAGGGTGACATGCCAAAGGAATCTTGGAGCAGGCAAAGTGTAATCCTTTCAGATGATGCTAGCCCAGAGGCTATGCTCCAAGGCATACCTTCTGTCCTGTACTGCTCAGGGACATTTTGCTCCTGAGAACAGATTAGAGCTAGTCTGGAGTCAAAGAAAAAAAAAAGGGAAACAAAAGTAGGAGGCTATGCTCCAAGGCATACCTTCTGTCCTGTCACTGCTCAGGGACATTTTGCTCCTGAGAACAGAGCTAGTCTGGAGTCAAAGAAAAAAAAAAAAAGGGAAACAAAAATAATGTGACTGTTCAATCTCAGTAGCAGCCATTTCACTTTACAAATTGCCTCTGCTATGCTGCACTGCCTGCAAATGTAGGCATGCTTTAGGTATGAAGAATTTACCCAGCGACCCCCAAACTGGTGTAAGATTGCCTTGATTTTGCATTACACAAGGTTGGCCCGGCCCCGTGGAAAATTTCTGCAAACTTCTCAGCGAATCTGTTTTAATTAAGTACCTCAAGACTGGATAGACTTGGCTAGTGCCTGAATTTCAACTGAAGAATAACCCCTGCAATTGCCTTGAACCACTGATACTCACATTGTAAGGGTATACTGCCTCTTCCAAGGCTGCGGTAGGGCTGTTTAATCACCTTCAAGAGGCAACATTTCTGCCCCCTTACTTTGATCCTCCTTTCTTCTGTTCGCTACAATGCCTAGTCTATGCTGCAGGCATTCAGCATGTAAGACACTTCTGAAAATTCCTTTCCACGGATTTGGGAACTCAAGTCCTGCTGACATTTGTATTCCTTACGCAATTTTGGGAGTCCCACTTGCAGTCAGCAGTTGAATAATTGCACCTTGTATCTGCCCCTGACAAAATTCTCTGTGATAGACAAGGCTGAAGTTGGCACTTTTCCCAGTGTCCAGTCCTATCAGTTCAGAGTTCCGAAATGGGCATTTCCTTCCATATTTTATAATTATTTTTTTTAATCATTAGATGCTACTGTTCTAAGTCCCATATTCCTTTCTTTTCAGGAACTCATTATTTTCGGGGTTTTAACAACAACAGCCAGCCTTGGTGCAACTGGAACGGACGTAGAAAACACGGGTTAAAACCAATCAACCCTACAGAAGAGGGGCTAGCAAGCATTCACAGTGTCCTGTTCCGCAAAGACCCTTTTCTCTGGAGAGCCGCCCTGCTCTACTACACAGTGTATCAGGCTAGCCAAATGTCCTTCAGTCAGCTTTTCCAGGACGTGGGGAAATTCGTCAAGGACCCCAATACTAGGTGGGATTACTGCGTACGAGCCAAGAGAGGCTGGACTGACACATCACAACCAGGTGGGTTCCCTATTTCTCTTCTCTATTTTTGTACTTCAGGGAGGTTTTCAGAACATGCCCAAAGCTCCTTCATCACGTCACGCAGTAAAACTTTTGCAAGAGGGAGAAATGGGCCTCTGTGCTTTCTGAAATGAGGCAGCAGGATTTCTGCTATTGAAAACAAGGCTGAAAATGCACATCCGTGAAACTTTCATATTGAACCAGTAATGGATTTTTTTTGTTGGAAGTGGGAATGCAAATTGCAAAACCGTGAAAAAGTTCATACTCACAGTTTGACCTCCTTTCATGTTTATTACAAGAGATGTAATGTCGCTGTGGATATTCACAGACACCATCTTCTGTGTTTGATTTCTTTCTCTGGCCAGTGCGTTTAGCGTTCTAGTTAGTTTTGGGGAAGGTTTTTCAAAGTCTGGCATATAAATATCTAGTTTTTAAAAATAAAATTGTTCTGCTCATAATGGCTTCTGACAATATGCCTTGAACAAACCCTGACAGGGTGCAGTGTATCTTGATTCCTTTTAGGCTGTTTCAATAAGGATCAGGTATACCTGGATGGCATTCTCCGAATCCTGAGATACAGGGAGTCCATTGATTTCCATCTTCTGACAGCCCTTGGAAAGGTGAGTGGGCTCATTCTTACCAAAGGGTACAGTTTTATCATTTCAGCAGGCCTGCCTGTAAAGAGCTGCGAGTCATTGTGCTCTGTTTTACTTTGATCTAGAAATCCCTGTTCTGTACACCACCTTGTATTACAATGGGCAAGTTACAAATATTTTGAGGTCCTAAAAGTTTCTACCGGCTTTTCCTCATTCCTCACTTACCAGATTAAGATTTTTATGGTCGTACTTCTCAGACTTGCCTTTCCTCCTCTTTACCTGACTTGCAGTACAATGGGCTGCCTTGGGCAAGTGGGACAGGTACTAGATAAGGCTGTGGTCCTAGTAGAAAACAAAATTAACTATTTGATGCTAATGCATCCCCTTCCACCAGAGTTTTTCATCTCAGATTCCTCTCACTGATGTCACCTCTGGTGTTTTTCAAAAATCAGGGGTTTTTTTCCCCCAGAATACTTGGTATTTCTACATTCGCAGAACATGCTTCATGTGCATTCTGTCATTGCTTGTTTGTTCTCAAAGTCATACGAAGAAGTGCAGAAACTTTGTCATACTTCCTGAACCAAATCCTTGGATTGCTAAGTTTCCACAGTTCATAAAGCAGGATTCATACTTACATAAACCAGGATCCAAAGTGATGCCAACATTTCTGCCTACTTGGCAATTAATGGGTGATAAAGGGAAATGGCATATTACGATAGAGGGTTTTGGTCCACATTTAACAAGTTTTGCCATTAATCATCAGAAACATCCGTATCGGTGAGCCAGAGCTATTTAGGCAACTGAACCAAGTTAGGAAGCTCTGAAAATAAAATCGCACTGTCAAATAAGCCTCTGCAACTTTATTCTCTGAAACTTCCTTTTGCTTTAAGCCTTCATAACTCCACACAGCTTCTGCCTGCTAAACTACTGAACACATACTGTTCCTGCACTGCTTTATCCCTTTCTCTCTTCAAGGAGTCTGCAGGATTGTCAAACCACTTCAAAAACATCGTAAGTCATTCCTCACATAATTACAGAGTCCACTATAATCCACATAGCAAGGCATCCACATGGCAAGGCATCCACATTAAGGATCTACAAGCAATTTAATTCTAGCAGTAAGATAACATGTACTCTGACCTTCAAGGAATATGGAGCTCGCACTGAGATCTACCTTGCAGTTATTACAAGTTTATCACCACTCTAAAGAGTGATTTATTTGTTTGTTTAGGGTGGAATAGGAGGATCGGGTTATTCCAAAAGGAGTATTACACTTGGCTGGCGTGTCTTCCAGGTTAGAAGAAAAAGCACAGGATTTAAACATAGGGAAGCCCAGCATTTAGTGGGAAAATTTTCATTGCCTTTTGAAGATTCTCAGTGTTCTTGTACTGTAACAACTGAGCTCATTTGTCTCAGCATGACTACCTTAGGCGTGTTTTTATTGCAAATACAATAAAGGTATGAACATAAAAGGAAACAAAAGCAGTCAACTATACTACTGACAACAAATTGCTTCTGTGCTTTAGTAGGCAGTTAACACAGTTGAAACATCGGAGCACTGCTTTCTCATGTGAATGTATTTAAGACAGAACCATGCTGAAGTTGCTGTGTCTTTGGTTCTCATCTGAGTGCTAGAGATCTGGCTGATGGAGGCAGCCGTGCCTTCCTGAGGCTTCTGGCATTCACTTACAGTGTAGAAGAGAGCAACGTGTGGAACCGGAACACTGCTTGTGCACTTAGGCAAGGTGCTCAGCATACCTGGAAGCGACCAAGGAAAGAGCCTGAAGCCTGAGAAAAGACACTTTTGGGAAGGAGCAGTTTTAAAACTTCACAGTAAAGAATCAAATATGGGAAGCACTGCAAAACGTTCACGTAGTAATCGCGACCAAGGAAAGAGCCTGAAGCCTGAGAAAAGACGCTTTTGGGAAGGAGCAGTTTTAAAACAGTAAAGAATCAAATACGGGAAGCACTGCAAAACGTTCACGTAGTAATCATATGCAAGTAATATTAAAGAAGAGACACAGAATGCAGATATTGGGTGTGCTTCATTATAGCATAACTACCATAATTTTAAAAAGCAAAAGCAGCACGATGTCACCTACTATTGTGTTTCCCAAGAAAGTGAACACATGACAAAGAGCCTAGGTAAGCCTGTTTTAGCCTCAGTCTTTTTTACCCAGTACAATAATTTTAATTATATGTGGTAAGGAAGACAACTTGTTGCTAGGATAGGATGAGATTATGTTTTTGATCTCAGAATGTCAACTTCTGTAATTTTTTAGCAATTGCAACAACTGGGGAAATACATCCCATTCAGCCTGTATCTTGGATCACAGATACTTGTTCCTTGGTTGCAGCAGTAACAGAAACCCCTGAACATAAGTATGAGGGGGAAAGGGTCCTTTTTCCTTCCTTTCTTTGGGAGGAAAAGAGGTAGAATTTCAAGCTGGGACAGGAGAGAAGGTCAGTATTTGATCTCATCTGGTGCTGTGTCTCCAGACTGAGCGGAGATGGTATGATTTTGTGTAGCTCCTCCATATCTACTTTGAAATACATTAATCGGGTGTAATGCCACACCGTCTTCAACCAGCAGTATCTTAGTGACTTGAGTAAGCCTGGGCATGGGTGGATGTTCGGTTTTTTAATCAGGATGCATCTTGTCATTGCAACTAGACTAGTCTAGTACATATGCTAGAAAAGCGTATGTGTGTACTCAGATGCAAATTCATTCTCCTTGTGGACTTTGTTCCCATTATCATCAGTGAGATACACACCCTGTGTCCGACTGCCTGTATGGATCAGGTTTAGCAATTGGCATTAGGCCTTCCTATCCTTCCAATCAGCCTTCCCATGTCCCTTACACATCAGTGGATCATCCATTCTCACTTTAATCTTTTCCGAATAGGAGCCATCACCTGCTAAGAGGGAAGGCTGTTTCCAGGGAGCCCTGACTACGCAGTGCTCAGCTCCTTAAAAGAAACATGGGGTAAAAAGGTTGGACAGAGCAGGCTCTGCTCTCAAGCCACCTGGCACAAACCTGCTGTGAGGAAATAGGATGTGCCAGTTAGTAAGCACAGCCAGGCTCGTGGGTTTTTGCCAGTACATATGCTTCTGTCCGTAGGGTGCCCAGAACACGCAGCTTGCAGACAAAGCGGCAACCGCATAAATTTCATCACACTGAATAGCTGCCCAAGGCGTCCTGTTCCGTGCTTGAAGGACAGTTTGTGTAGCTATTGCACAGCCAAAGCGTTCATCCTTTCTGGACCACCATTCACAGCACCTTGAGCTACTGTGAGCTCAAGATTTGAAGTCCTAGCTCGTAGAATGATAAGACTATTGAGAAAAATCTCAGCTGTCATTAAAAAAAAAGTAGTAGGCCCTGCAGTAGCTGGGAAATGTTTGGGAGTGTCACACCTGTACCCAGAAGGCTCTGATGCCAAGAGACAAACCCAATCCCCGCCCTGCTATTGAATGGGGAAGAAAAACAATTGGGATGCTTAAGGGCTGCACATACTGTAGTTAGTTACTAGAGGTGGATTTTAATCTAGCTTTGCATAAGCATATTTCCTAGTGAAAATAAAACACCAGAGTTCAGGTCAGCTGGCACCATGCCTTTCCCAAAGCCAGAGCCTGCCTGCCTCCTGTGCCATGTCTGTCCTGCACTCCCCATCTGGTTCCTCAATCTTTGGCATGGCATTTTTTCCATTCTCAGGTCAGTCTCTGAGAAGAGACTCTAAGACTCACATGTGCTCCATCCTTTCCCTCTCTATCCCTGCAGTTGCTGTAGGTCATTCTTATTCAGGTTCCTATGAATCTGTTCAGTGATTGAATCAAAAGCAGAATCAGGAAGTGTGGAGGCATTTGCCAAAATTACATTTTCTTTTGCGTATTCCACTGAGGCACATAGTTACTCATGTTTTCAAAGGATTCTCACAAGCTTTTAAATCCCCCTGATCTGCAACATTTTCTCATCTACCAGCAAGAATGTAGAGCCATGGCAGAGAAGTAACAGGGCTATCGTGAGAAATTAACCCATGTCCTTCCTTGCAGATCTCGTACGAGGATGTGGACCGCCTGAAAGGATTAGCTGTGATTGAGAACATGAGGGTACCGCACTTTTTGCAAGACCATGCCCGGTATATGGAGCACTTGGAAAAGATCATGGAAGTCAATGAACTGACTGATGAGGAGCTCCAGGATCTCATAAATTAACAGTATTAACCCACCGTTCACTTACTCTGTGCAGCTGAGGATGTAGAACTGGACTTCCCAGAGCTTGCAAAAATGGATTTATGAGGGATGGAGTGGGAGGGAAGGGTGGACAGAATATGTGGAATTCAGAAAAAGTCCCTTTACGTTCCTTTTGCATAGTGATTGTATACTGATTATTTTTTAAAGGGTTTGTGCATTTTTAGAAATTTGGCTTAGGAATTCTTTTGCAGTGATCTGTCCAATCATCTACTCTGTTTTATATGCTAGGTATAGTGCTCGAAGCTGTCTCTTTTAAGATACTGCCTTTTCCCATCCAGGTTTAGAGGTGGAGGAAAGGAGAAAGAGGAGAATTCCCCCTTAGTTCACTTGTGTTTGCCCTGTCTTTGGTCATAGCTTTCACAGGCCATCGCAATAGAACTGCTGTAGATTATGCTACATCATTCTCTGCGTAACGCTTTCCCATTTGGCCATCACTGCAATGAAAAAAGAAAGCCTAAAAACACAGTGCACAGAAGCAGGTCTTTGTGCCATAGGATCAAAGTTCTGCAATACTATAAAAAATTTGGGGTTTTTTTTTACTGGGAGACTTAGCATTTAAAAAAAAAAAAAAAAAGGTATTGCTGTTTCAATGACCGTAAGCAGGTAGCAAAGTTTTCCCCTCAAAAAGTTACACTGTTCCACATCTTTATCTGTATAGTACCTGTTTCAGGAGGCTGAATTCTGGAAAGGGTCTCCCTCCTTTGAGGACAAGAAAAGCGTGTCTAGGAAGTTCAACATGGCAGTGTTTTGGAAGAAGGACTGGGCAGAACTGTGATTTCCTGACCTAACGTGTTTTAAATAAATTCAGGATCGCAGGGACATGATTCAGCATGGAAGGCGACACCCACTTCTTCTCTGGATCACCTGAACCTACAGAAGGTCAAGTCACTTTTTGAGCAGTAACCTCCATGCTACAGCAAGCTTGAGCTTGCAGAGCTTGTTGAAGAAGCAAGATGTGAATGGGAGGGTGGGAAAGAAGGTTCGCAAGTGCCCTATTCCTGTGTTCCAACAGAAGCGCTGTACCACTCTGAAGCAACCTTACCTCTCTTTTAACTGCTGGTGCTATATCCAGAACCAAGAAGGGAAAGCACCTTACTGTAAGGCATGGCTAGTCACAGGAGAAATAGCTTAGATGATGCAGGAGGGCTTCCTACATAAACTACGTTTTCTGATTCCAGAGTGTTATGGAATTATCAAGGAGAATTGAGTTTTGCACCTCTAAGTATCCCGACAAAGGATTTTGTTTAGTAGAAGGCATTTTACCAGGGCTCCTCTGAACTCCCGGGAAGCAGCTATGGTAGGAGAGGCTGGACAGGAACAAGCAAGAGCCTTGGGCAGGGCATCAGCCATTTCTTCCCCTTCTGCCCACTGGTAACAGGCTCGGCATTGGATAAGGCAAGTAGATGGAGCCGAGGTTTCCTCCAAACCGTGAGCCCTGGTATCCCTCCTTCCCTGCTTATCCTGTTCTTAAATTAAATGGATGGAATAACCCTCCCACCATACTTTACACCCAGGACATTACCAGCCATTACAGCAAAGTCTTGAGAACGCATTTTTGGAGCCATAGGAAGAGGTCTAAAGGTTTTTGAATAATCCCATGAAAGCAGCTGCCTTTCAGACAGTATTGCAGGTGCATTTGCAGCAGCTGGCTGGCTGCTTCAAAAAAGAAAATGCGCTCAACAAGCATAAATTTACTAAATTTGGTTATTTTCAAGGCAGGGACCGAGAACTGCTCGCAGCAGCCTTAATTGTGTATTGTCAGTATTGCCCACGAGCTGAAAGCCTCCCAGCCTCTGTATGCTGAAATAAAAGGCCTTTTTCTCTCCTTGCCCCCTTCAGGCTGTCTAGTTTGATCACTGGTAACTTTGCCTGCCCAGCTTTGTTTTAAAGCTGTGTCGAGTAGACACGGTGTTGCAGCAGCCTGAGAGGAACCACTTGCAGTCACGCACCCACATGCTCCAGGCTTTGGCTCCTTTGCCAGGAGCAGCAAGAAAGCCACACGTGGCTGAGGTCAAGTCAAAGATTGCAGTCAAAAGCTATCTTTGGAGTAAATTGGGCAGAGATCATTTGAGCTACACCGTGGAAGAATCTGTCTCGCTTTGCTGACTCAGGGGTATCCGAAAGGGCCAGTCCTTTATGAAAGGGACAATTCTGACCTGATATTTTTTCTTACAGAAGAGATCCCTGCCTTCCTACAGCAACTTCTATATAAGCAAAGTGCTTTTCCACCTCCCCCAGTTGTAATGTCTTATAATCTTAAGTGTATGTAGGTAATGTCTCCTTGAAACCAGGATGCTGTGCTAGCCACCCTGCTTTGCCACAAAATACCATGCCTACAGCCCTTCGTCCAACAGCCAGTTGACTCTCTTACAACTCTGTAGCCCTGAATGCTACTAGAGGACTTTTTGCTTTACTTGAAGACCTGCATCACATTTCCTTCAAAGCAGTAGGTGCCATTAAATTTCTGTTCTTCATTGTTCTAGAAATAGATTTGCCTTGTGCAAGGTTGGAGTCTGGAAGTGGTCAGTATCAAAGTAATACTGTAGCAATAGATGAAGCTGTCAGCTTCTAGTTTTGGCATCAGATTTGTCCTTCCTCCTTTGTAAAAAAAGTGTTTCAAATTTTCAAGTGTAGCTTTTGTAAATTTTCCTGAGGTTGTTTTTTTCTCCACTGTGAAGAGGCTGGTTACTAAGTCACGATACTGAAGTTCTGTAATAAAGCATATGGACAGCAGTGCACGTGAGCTCACGTCACTACACAGTTTCATGATGTCAATGATGTGATGACAGCCTTAATGATGTGATGACAGCCTTTCCTAGTGGTCTGGCTCAGTTGCTTTGCTGTGTATCCAAGTCTCGCTACTTACCTATGTTATTCCTATACAGAAACCTGGTAAACGTTGGAAAAGCCTCCCCATTGCACCAGACCAATGTTAAAAGGCATTTTATACAACTTTTACAAATAAAGATAAATGAAAGAATGACAGAGACAAGAGTACCGAAGTGTTACATCATGTTGTGTTGGGAGCGTTACTCTTTTTCGACGGCATTGGCTCTACGGCTAGCTGGACATCCCAAGCTATGCATGGGAAGAAGTGGCTTTCTGATGCACTTTTGAAAAAATGCCACTTGGCATTGGAGTCATGAAGGGTCTGTTGAAGTCCTACATCAGGTACGGCTCCCTCTGCTCTGTCAGAAGGCCTGGCTGCTCACGAGGAAATTACACAACCTCCCTTTTTCTAGGATATGGTCTGAGGCGTCATCGGAGCCACTTGGCTGCGAAACATTTCTCAGTGTCATCCATGCGGGAAATGGCAACTCCAAATGTTCTGCCTTAAGACTTTCATCCACCCCCCCTCTCCCCCACTGCTTCATTTCAGGGCTCCTTGTCCCCTCTCACATTATAAAATGTGCTTGCTTATCTCCAGGGAGTCCTGTCATCTCCTTATGGTTCAGCTCCTTCACGTATAAGCAAGGATAACATTTAAGGGTTGTGGGTTCTTTTTAAGGGAAATACTTTAAAAGTCATGAGCTGAAGTGCCTTGCAAGATAGCTAAATTTTACTGCATTGCATTCCCCCTTCCCTTGCTAGCACGTTCGGAAGACAGCCTGAAATCTTCCTCCTCCGCAGGCTCCCAAATCACCGCTGTTTGCCCTCACCCAGTGCATCCCAGATACCCCTTCTACAGCATCAGTGGCGTGAAACACAACGCTCGAGCTTTGCTGGGCAGGTATATTGCAGTACTGGATAAATTTCACAGCTGTTAGAGGTGATCTGCAGGACTACGGCAACCCTGAAATCCTTTTTCTGGCACTTGAGTGCCAGGCTTGTGAAGCTGGACACCCTGCAAGCAGTTTCAGGAGCAACTCGAGCACCAAGGGTCTCAGTGATGCTCCTGCCTGCCTGCCTGGCAAGGAGGGAAAGCTGGAAATCATTTACGCTGGAAATCACTTACACTGGAAACCAGGATGGAAGTCTGACAACACATGAGTCAGGGTGGAAGCTGAGAGAGGCACTGTCTAAGCCAAGAGAAAAGCAAAAGGAAACAGCTGGAACAGTTGCTTTTTTAAGGGAGTGTTCATTTAAAAGTGTCTTAATAATTTTCATAATATATAAGCACCACATTCAGAAGTTCTTTGAGTTCTTTTCAGGGTGCAGTTTAAAATGAGATTGCGTATCTTTAATATACAGAGGGGAGAATCTAATTTGGCTTTGCTAAACAATTACGGACTTTTCACAACTGAAAGTCTATATTAACTGAAATCCAGAAAATCTGGATATGGAATTTTAAACCCATTCTCTTACATTGATTCAGTAATAAAAAGATGCCATTGGGATTACCTTCCAAGGCACAGCCATGCCCTTCCGCTTAAAGCTGTCTACATTAATTTCTTATGGTGCTGCTGAAATATTTTGTATCTTCCCCAATTGCATAGTGCCTCTGAGACACTTTAAGTCCCTTTCCCTCAAGTGTCTATGGACACGCAGGGCAAAGTACAGCATTATTTCAGCTCTTTAGATGGTGAAGAAGCCAAGGCTGGAGTTACAACTACATTGGACACCGTATGAAGCAGGAAAGGATGCGATGGAGTCCACGCAGCCAGGGCTCAGGTGAGTGGGCAGGATGGGGTTGGACAGACGTGGTTTTGAAGAGAAAAAAACTCTTAAGAAAACTCGGTGGTGGGAGAAGCGCGGCCGGTGACGCAGGAGTGGCTCCAGGCCACAGCACGCCTCTCCTGCCATGGGGTCAGAGCAGGGTGGACGCCTCCCCGCAGGGATCCTCCCTGCTGGCCCGTGAAATGCTGTGGGGCTTTGGAGGGGAAACAGAGGGTACAGGCCAGCCTGCCCCCCCCCCCCCAGCTATGCTAATATAACAGAGCTGGGCTCACCTAAGGGAACCGTCCCAGCAGCGCCCTGAAAACGGCTCTCAGAGGGGCTCATGGGTGTACATCAGGGCCCAATGTCCATCTCATGTCACATCCCAAACAAGAGGCAGCTCAGGCTGTCTCCTCCAGCTTGCTTGCTTATTTCTCCTGCTTG